AGATTGGCACAATGCCTGATATAGCATAACTATGCATAAAAGCTTGCTGAATTATTACAGTATGCTTACCCGTATATAATAAAACCTCAGTTCTGCCACAGGCATATACTTTGCACTTTAGAAAGATCAGATTGGTAGCAGAACAAAACTGGTCAGTTAGCAGGCAACAAAACCTGAGGCAGGGAGACCAGTTACAAGGCTAGTTTCGTATGTCTGGACAAAAATAAATGGAGCCCTGAACTAAAACAGGATGGTAAGGATGAAGAGATTGGAATGTAGAGAAGAAATACTGAGGAGGGAAAAATCTCTGGTCCTTAAATATAGGTATGAATATGAGAGGAGCTGTAATAACTTCCATTCAGGCTTCTTTTGGGTTGGGGACTGTGTGGATGGTGGGAGCAGACATAATAGAAGAACTATAGGAAATGGAACAAGATGTTAGTGGGGAGGGCATTGAAAAAGGTGGAGATGATGAATTTACTTTTGGATATGTTGAGTTTGCAATGGATACTGAATTTAAAGACATATCTAGTAAGCAGGTGAATTCTAGGCATGGAACTGAGAAGATTTGTGAGCCATTAGCATAAGAAATTATAAGGACAGAAAGCCAAGAGTGACCCATGTTGCCACCTACATTTAGGGAATGAGCATTGGGAGAGGAACTATGAAAACCAAGGAGGGGTCCTGGCTGGTGTAGCTCGGTGGATTGAGCATAGGCTGTGAACCAAAGGTTTGCTGGTTTGATTCCCACTTAGGAAACTGCCTGGGTGGTGGGCCAGGTCCCGGTGGGGGGCCACATGAGAGGCAGTCACACAGTGATGTTTCTCTCCCTCTCTTTCTTCCTCCCTTCCACTCTCTAGGAAAAAATAAATAAAATCTTAAAGAAAAAAAGAAAGGTTAAACTACAAATGAAGCAAGAAGAAGTAGAAATGGTATACTGCTAGAGAGAAATGTATAATTGTGTTGAGAGAACTACAGCTGCGGTCTGCAGGCATTTTATTTGTGATCACAGACACACACAATTTAAACAAAGCTTTATAATTCAGATGAAGGTGGATCAACACTGATACTCTTCTATGTATCACAGTGACTTCTGTGACTTCACAATAAATTTTTATTTAATCTTCTTTTTTAAAGAATTTGTTTATTCATTTTCAGAGAGAGGAGAAGGGACAGAGAAAGAAACATCCATGTGTGAGAAATGTCGATCGGTTGCTTCTTGCACACTCCCATCTGGGGACCTGGCCTGCAACCCAGGCATGTGCCCTGATAGGGAATTGTACCAATGACCCTTTGGTTTGCAGGCTGGTGCTGAATCCACTGAGCCACACCAGCCAGGAGTGATTTAATCTTTCTTTTTCACTCTACTTCCGACTTTGAGTTTTGGAACTTTCTAAAAACATTTTTATCATTTTACTGGGATATAATTTATAGTACACTTCTAATACATGTAATTTCAAGGGCAAAATCTATGTCTATTTTAGCTTTGTATCTTCAATCGCCTTTGCCTTAAAATTTACAATAGATGCATGATGGAATTTACTACATCCTACTTACTTTCTATGATTCATAGAACAGCAGCTTGGTATCCTTGGGAACTTGTTAGAAATGTAAAGTCTGAGCCCACCCCTGATTTAATGAATAATTATTTTTAACAAGATCTCTAGGTGATCTGTATGGATACACAATCAATCCATCCTGACTGACTGAATAATGAATAAAAAATTGTATTGTTCTTATTTCTAGTTCACCTCCAATTTTAGCCCATGTGATACACCTTGGCCAAATTGTCTTTCTAAAATAATGATTTGTTATGTCAATTCTGCTTTAAAGAGCTCCAAATTTAACTAAACTGAGTAGTTCTGCCTGGAATGCAAAGTCTTTCAAAGTTTCTACCAAATTTACTTCCATTATCTTCCTTACCCAAACCTCCTCCTAGTCAGTCTGGTCTCACTGGAGTGGCTGTTTATTTCTACTTCTCTATTTTTGTTGTTTCCATGTTCCCTATTCAACATACTCGCTTCTTCTAACCATAAAAATACTATTCATCCTTCATGTTCTAGCTAAAACTCATTTTTATAAAACAGACCACTCTCCCACAGTGATGCTTCTCATCTGACACATTTATATTGATTATTAGCAGGGAATTGTGATTATTAATCTCAAGAAAATTTGATTCCATTCATACCTCTGCCACGACCTTGTATAATGCTAAGCAAATTCACTGAACATATTTGGGTTTCAAAATTTGTCTTTTTAGAGAAAAAGAGTGGGAACCCCAACAATATTGTGTTTGACACAACATGACAAAATATACCTCAAGAAATGTATTTTAACATACACATAATACTTAAGAGATGAACGCTCTTAAATTACAATTGTTAACTCTCAGGTATTTGAAGCATCCCTCCCATAATCTTCACTAAAATGTACAATAAGCAAAGGCAAAATTCAGTCCAATCCAATCCAAACATGTTACACAGTAGTATTCTACAATTTTAATATTGATGTTAAAACTGGATATGTGGTAAGAATAAGAGTTGAGAAGTAGAATCAAATATCAATAGAATTTCAAAACCAGGCTCAAATCTGTTTGTAAATACAAGAACAGAGTTCTTACTCCCTCCTCTTATCTGTCTTGGCTGAGTAAGGGTTGTGTCCTGGCTGACATTCTTGAGCTATTTCTTTCTCTGCTTGAAACACAGGGCAGTTTCTGTCATGACCCTTCTTGCTGCCTTGGAGAGCTTCAGGTAGAAATCTGTATAACAACATTTACTTTCTTCAGTAAATGGTTACATAGGAAAGAAAAGAATGAAGAGGGAGGCGACCTTCACAGAATATCAACAGGCTGCAGATTAATTGTACCTTGTTTCTTTTGCTAAACTCCCAGCACAGATTTCCATGAGAACAGTTATAAAGTCTCCCCTCACACATTCCACCTCTGCATTCCCAACCATTTCCTCTGGGCCCCTGCAATACAGCATTCTAGGCTGAGGAGGCCTCGATTTGTATCAATTGTATTTAAAAAAAGTTTTGTTCTATGAAGGTATTTCAATCCGAGAAAAGGATATACACTGGAGATCTGTACATTCTCAGAATTGCCCACATTTATAGTTTTGTTGTTCTTCAGATGCTGTTTTCAAGATGCATTTGGAGTTACATGCAACACGAACACTAATTATTAGGAAATGTCTACCACAAACCAACAGTGTGGGCCCCAGACAATTAAATGGTAGCCTCTAAATATTAGACAAATACATGAACGTTTCATTGGTGTTTTGGCTTTTAAAGTAAGGTAATGGCAGCATATAAAGTGTATCAAGTAACTTTCTTTTTTATATATAAGGGTACCAAAATAAGAAAAGAAAATGGACAGAATTATAGTCCAGAACAGATGGAGATTAAAATGACACATGCTTCCAAAGCCCCTTTGCCTTATGCTATTTCTTAGAGCTCATTAATGCTCTTGGAAGGAGGGCCGGAGTCAGTGGGAGATAGGAAACAAAACCCGAACAACCAGGTGGGTTTGTTCTACAGAGTTTCAGGCCTGCTTTGTGTTTTTGGAACTCTTCCGAGTCCTATCTTTCCTCAGAAGTGAACTTTTGCCTTTTTAAAAGATGTATCTGCATCAGGATAAGTCTTATGTGTTTGAAGTTTATATGGAAGGAGAGGTTACTAGTCAGACACAAATTCAAATACCTACCCTTACCCATCCCACCCCCCTTATTTCAGTGGTTTCTTTCTACCGGGCTGGCGAGCTTGGAGCAGGGCCATATTAGGTGATCGGCGAGACTGGCTTCACCACCATGCGTTCTCTGGGGGCCAGGACTTAGCTACGGGCTTCTCTAAGGACATCCAGGCAAACGTAAGTCGTGAAGAATATAAAAAGAGTCACGTTTGAAAATATGTCTCACAGCCTCTACTTCAATGTCCTCAGAGAAGGAGATAAAATCAGGAGGAAAGAAGAGACCTTTAAAAGGTGAGATGACATAAAAGCTACTGCTTCTCAGGTTACTGAGGAGGTTTGATGTGTTGTGCCCAGTTTGAGCCTAAGCTGGGGTTTGGAGGTGTGAGAGTGTGCGTTGTGAAGTGGTAGGGCAGAGCCTCTGTAGAGCCCCATCTGATCCCTGAGAAAGCACTCATCTCCAGAGATGAAGTATCAAGGTATAATGAGCCTTAGTCAGTGACAGGGCAGTGATGAGAGAGAAGGGCCATTATGGGCAACAGATGCATCATGGTCTCCACCACACAGATTTGTCTCCTAGCTGTGTCTCCACCGGGCTGGTACTTTGGAGTTACTAAAAGCAGGCATACCTCTGGAGACCTGGAAACAGTGCCTGGTGAAAGATGGCTGAGTAGCAGTGTTGCCTGGTGGTGGGATACTCAGAAAGAGCAGACTTGCTTTTGATCACATGTAAGACAGTTGGAGACTCACAGAAATACGTGGGGAATTTAGCAGAGGGATGAGTTAATTTAGTAAATAAATATGCTGCTAGATATGGACATTATAGTTAATGTGCTTCCTTTTGAACTTATAAGTGGGTGAAGCCTGGAGAAACTCAGATTACATAAGGATGCAAAAATAAATATAGAAGCCCTAGAAAGCAATTGTACTTAAAGTTCAAAGAATCAGTTAATGCTAATTTTGACATTTTCTCTTACTCTTCTCACCCATGTCTTCCCTATCTTTCTCGACACAGTAAAAGTATGAATAGGAATAAAACATTATCACCATTAGTTCTACTAGGTTAAAGACAACGCTATCAAAAAAGATTCCTGCAAACTTAATATACTCATAGGATAGCAAAATATTTCTCCTTCTGTAATGGCATTCCAGGAAAACGCCTGCCCTTAACATATAGCAGCTTCATTCTGAAGAATGAAGATTAGTGAAAATTATGGTATTTACTTTTGGTCTCTTAAGCAAAAATCCCACCTAGTTAGTACTCCCAAAATTCATATTTGTACAAGAACAACTTAAAAATAAATCCAGTACTTACTTGTCTCCTACAATTCCCAAGTTGATTGTGGGGTAACCATGTTCCTGAATTGTGGCTAAGAGGGTTGAACGGTTGCTGTCTCGAATCTTTCCTGGTAAGAGGTCATCTTCAGGATTTAGCAGCTACAAAGCCAAATAAAAAAAAAACCCACCACAAATTATTCTCTCAGGATAATACTACCTATTGTTAAAGGAAAAAGTAGATCTAGCAAACAGAGGTTAGTATATCTAGCATCTATGACAGTATTTGGCACGTAGAAGATATATGCTCAAAGGGTCTTTGAATAAATATTGAACGTCTAGGAAAATAAAAAAATGGTGTTGCAAAAATTTAAATGGTGACTAAACAGAAGGACAAATATAATCCCAGCTCTGGCTTATTCGACACTAGTGCTCTGGAGATGCTGGTCTTCCCAGTGGTTGCTTCCTAGGGCAAACTAAATAAAAACTTTGACTTTAACTCCCAATAGTATTTTCCAATTTCTTTCACTGAGACCATTTGAGGTGGAGACTGTGTGACGTGATAGTCTCGAATCTGAAGAGAATGGTCATTTATCTTTTCTAAGCTTTTGATCTCTTTTCTGAAATGGAATAAATAATACCTAAGAAGTTAAACTTATCTGAAGGAGAAAGAGACGTCTTATCTCTTTATTAGCAAACTTGAACAAGTAATCCTTACTTATAAATATAATGCCATGAACTCTGAATTGAATTGCCCTTTAGAGATTTAATGTCTAATATCATATGTCTGTAAGGAAAATATAAGAAGCTTCTTCTATGTTAGGATGTTCCAGTGAGACAGTTGTAGCAGAGTAGAAGGAGCCCAGGATTCAGATAAGGTTCAAATTCAAGTTGCACAAACATATTATGACTTAATTTCCTCACTTATAATATATTGGAGTGAACAAAAGTAGGTTTATAGTAATAATACAGATAAATAGTACAATAATGAATAAATAATAATACAAGAATAAACTGTCTTATGTACTCACAACTGTAAACCTACTTTTGCTTACCATGGTATAGTAATAATAACTACCTTACTGTAGTAGTTGTTAGGATTAACTGAGATAATGAATACTCCATTAATATATCATAAGTGATGTGCTTTCTTTTCTTTATGATATGGTACTGAAAGAGCACCTATTTCCCTCCTAATTGTTCTCATACTGTTACTCCTAGATGCTTGTATAGATTAAATTAGTTTCTAATGTGAACGTGGATTTAGCCATATTAGATGGTAAAATACTTAAGAGCAGGGAGTCCTTACATACACACATACACACGCACAACACACAACTTTAGTTTTATATGTTAATTTTAAGATGCATTTTGATTTCAGAAATATAAAAGGAAAAAACTGTACATACTCGAAGTGAGGAAAATCTGGAATATTATCTTAGGAGGTTGAATGCAAGCCCGCACATTTAGATGTTCAGGCTGTTCATAAAGCCAGTACTCGGGGCTGCATATCTCACTTCTCCCAAACAATAACCTCTAGCTCCTTCATTCTTCCTTTTGACTCATGTGGCCGGCCCTTTAGCTTTATGTTGGAAAAGTAGTAGCTTTGCAACAACCTGTCCTCTTGTAATAGCTGGAGAAAAACTCTGATTGTCTTACTTAGTGTCGCCTGGGAGTCTTTTCTTTGTATACTGCACTAATCTAACTTAATCAGATGCTGTGTGACACTGCAACCCACTTTCATTATTAGTCACTGGCCGAGCTTGAAAAATTGTCATTGCAGTGTTAGTATAGATTAATTTTCTGATCTCACTTAACATACTGTTAATGAAGTCATTATAATTTTATAAAGGCCAGGGCTTGCAGCTCTTTAACTCCATTAATGAAATAACTTGTTTCAGATAGAAAACTGTGTGCTTATATAATTTTTTTCCACAACATGGTACAGACCACCAACTAAGTAAGATTCCTCTGTTATTAGTGTGTTTTCTTTGTCATTCATGCTCCTATTTTGCTGTAAACAGTTCCAGAAATAACAGAACAATTAAAGATCATAGGAAAATCAGTTACTGTCTGTAAAACTGACATAATGAAATAACAGCTAGTTAAATGAGGGATTGGGATTTATAGTGTATTTTAAATATTTTCAAAGAAGGCATAAGGAATTGAATGGAAAATTATAAAGCTGAATATTCTGCAACAGAAAAAAGTTACAATATGCCTTCCCCTTTAAAACTGAATCTTAATTTCTGGTATTATACTTCTGGTCATCTCTGGAAAGATGTCTGAAACTTATTACAGTTAAAATACAAAAGAAATAAGATACAAAGTAGTTGTAGGGACAGTGCACCAACCACAAGGAACAATATTTCACAGAGAAGTTAAACTGCCTTTGAAGAGCAAGGCTCCAGGCTTTGGGTTCAGGATGGTAGACTAGGGAGATCTTGAGCTCTCTTTTTCTCATTGATACCAACACTGCAACTATATAATAGTTACTACCTCTGCGAACTACCTGAAGACCAGCAGAAAAGATTTTCTACAACTATGCATATTTTTTAAAAAGCCACACTGAGACAGGTAGGAGGGGCAGAGACTCAGTCTAGTTAGACCCACCCTGCCCCTGTGTGGTGGCTCACAATTGGGAGGGTATCACAACGGCAGAGGTCTGCCCCTGAAGAGTGAGGTGTCAGAATCGCAGCCTGGGGGTCCTGTACCAGGAAGAGGAGCTCCTCTAACATCTGGCTTTGAAAACCAGCAGGGGTTAGGTCTGGGAGAGCCAAACGGCTGCAGGAAACTAAGGCTGCACTCTTCCCAAGTCTCAGGACAGAGGCAGCAGTTTGAAAAGCACTTGGGTCACATGTAAAGGTGATACACTGACTAATTTTAGGGCATCTGCTGGAGGGACGGGGATCTGTTGGAAATTTCTCTAGAGTCTGAAGTGCTGGTGGGCATTACTTATTTCCCCCTTTTACTCTCCTTCCATCTACCTGGTCTGATGCTGGCAGCTGCCATTGCTGACACTCTCCATTAACCTTGCTAACACTGTTCACCTTACTTCGGTATTTCCCTGAGGACCCACACAGGACCCAAAGTGGTTCCTAACCTGCCACACCTGGCTGGTGGCTTCAGTCAGCACGAGCACACAGCAGTGGGTCTGCAGCAAGCTGGGGCTGAGCCTTGTGGCCAGACACGCCTAAGGGCTGCCCTCCACACCACCATGCCCGCAACAGGTGCAGCCAGGCCTCACAGCCAGCCTGGCAGACACCAGCCTCTCCCGACAGTGCGTTCAGGGCAGTTGTGGCCCAACCACAACAGAAGACCTATCAATAATCACTTTAGATGTAAATGGACTAAGTGCTCCATCCAAAAGACATGGGGTGGCCGGATGGGTAAAATTACAGGACCCTTGCATAGGCTGCCTACATGAGCCTCACTTCAGATAGAAAGACACACAGAGACTGAAAATAAAAGGGTGGGAAAAGATATTACATAAAAATGGAAATGAAAGCTGAGATAGCAATATTTTTACCAGACAAATAAACTTTAAAACAAGAGCTAAAAGAAGAGACAAAGAAGGACGCAGAAATTCCACTCTGGGCACTTATTCAAAGAAAACAAAGCAGTAATTCGAAAAAGATACATGTGTTTGTCATGGCATTATTTACAATACCCATGATATGGAAGCAACCTAGGTGTCCATCAATAGATAAATGGATATATAGGAAGTTTTACACACACACACACACACACACACACACACACACACACACACACAGAGGAATATTACTCATCCTTGAAAAAAGAATAAAACTTTGCCATTTGTGACAACATGGATGGACCTAGAGGGTATTATGCTAAGTGAAGTAAGTCAAAGAAAAACAAATAGTGTATTATCTCACTTACAAGTGGACTCTAAAAAACCTAAACAAATGAACAAACAAAACAAACAGACTCAAAGATAGATACAGAGAACAAACTAATGGCTGCCAGAGGATTGGGAGGTGGAGCAACTGGCAGAAAGGTGAAGGGGAGCAAAAGTACAAACTTGTAACACAAATATGTCATGAGGACGTAAGTACAGCATAGGGAATAGTCAGTAATATGATAGTAACTTTTATGGTGCCAGGTGGTTACTTCTCACGGTGCTCACTCCATAAGGTATGGAGGTGTCAAATCACTGTTGTACACCTGAAACTAATGTAATATCGTGTGTCAACTAAACTTTCATTAGAAAGAACTTGACATTCTAGAATGAACAAGAAAAACGAAGTAAAACATAACCCATGGTCTCCCTATCTTGTTACTTTCCTAGCTACCACACGTTCAGTTTTGATGTCCTGTTTCTGTTGTCAGTGGTACCACTGTCTTCTCAGCTTTCAAACATTTGTCTTTGATTCTCCCCCGCCTTTGCAGTCCACTATCTTTTCAAATGTCTCAACCATTAAGAGCATCCTAATCAATATCCTCCTTGACCCAATATTTTCACTCCCTCTCTTATCAATACTGCCCATCCCCCAATTTCAGGCATTCAATACCTCTGAGTTTCTGTAAAGGCCTTATAATTCACTGTCTTGTTTATAAACTCCTTCCTTCTGAGAAATAAAACAGAAACAGCAACTTGCAAGATAAACTGTATCAAACCATGCCATATAACTCAAGCTACCTTAAGTCGAATTGTTTTAACAGACGCTTCTTCAGACCTATATGCTCCAACATAAGACTGAACAAATTGAGACCATGGTTAAGTTGTGGTCTCAATATGGACTCATATGCTGTAAAGATAAGAGTATTTCAGCAACTCACTTATTTTACAAAATCTGACTAGTTTCTGCCTAAAACTTACAAACTTTTACCTTAAACCCACCCCATGACAAACTCTCAAAATCCCATAGGTATCCTTCTGTAACTTGCCCTTTTTGAGACACTACTGAGACTTTGTCAAGGTGGTGCTCTCCCTGCTCGGAAACTCTCATGTATCTAGTTGTGGATGATCAACCAGTTTCCTTGGTCGCCCTCATATTAGGACTTTGACGGTCACTGGGCTCCCACCAAGAGCTGGGCAGGACTCCCTGCCACCGGTAGTTTCATACTGGTTACACTGCACTTCACTGCGGTCTCTTGAGCCTCTTTGGTTGGGGGACTCTGCATCTATGGTAACACAT